TTTCTTGAAGCATATTTAAAAGTCAAAAAAATGTGTTTTCTCAGTTTGAGTCTTCCATCAAATGTCAGTACAACTTCTGCGACTCAGTTTCTCATTCTCTTCCAGAACACCAAGCACTGAGTAAGAGAGGCCCTAAAATCCCATTGAGTTTTGAACTTCTTTGATTTGCTAAGTATAAAAGTCACCTTTTCAGCCCCTCAAACAAAAAGAATTTGATTTTTACTTCTGCAAATGAACATCTCAATTATAAATTTACAGTCATAATTTGTTATTGCCTGCATATGCAGGTAGTCATTGCAAGCTCATAGTTTTCCTTTCATAGTCATATTAATTAAAGTTGCAGTATACTTAGAATCATTTGTGTGGCTAATCATATTTGTAATACTAACAATACAATTATAGCAAATTAGATAAAATGATCAAAATGCATTACTTCCTATTTTTTCTCTGATATTCTTTTCAAAGCTGTTTCACCCTAATTTTCAAGTAAGTTTTCCCATAAATTTACAGTGTTTTATATCAAAACAAAATACATCTCTTGAGTCACTGAATATTATTGAAGTTCTTTTTTTTTTTTAAGATTTTATTTACTTATATGACAGAGAGAGACACAGCGAGAGAGGGAACACAAGCAGGGGGAGCAGGAGAGGGAGAAGCAGGCTTCCCGCAGAGCAGGGAGCCCAATGCAGGGCTCGATCCCAGGACCCTGGGACCATGACCTGAGCCGAAGTTAGATGCTTAACGACTGAGCCACCCAGGTGCCCCATTATTGGAGTTCTTTAAAATTGACTAATGTAAGTTGACTTACTACCTTTGTAACATTCAGTGAGCAGCTGATTTTTAAAGTTTAGACATTGGTATTCCTAGTATTTGTTTAGAGTAAAAATGAAAGAATTATATAATCCAGGTATTTCCATTATGTTGCTTTCTTTCCACACAGTACATTGTACATGATTAAAGGAGCCTGCAAATCCCCTCCAAAAATGCAAATTAATAGTTCTCCCAAATTCTGTTCTTCCATAAAAAAATAATCATTATTTTTTATTTATTTATCATTATTACATCTTAAAGCTGCTAGGATTATCTACCACTTCTTGAAATTACAGTAGTCTCCCTTATCCACAGTGGATATGTTTGAAGACCCACAGTGGATGCCTGAAATCACGGCTAGTACTGAAACTTATATATACTAGGATTATTGCTACAGATACATACATATGATAAAGCTTAGATGGTAAATCAGGCACAGTAAGAGGTTAACAACAATAACAAAATAGAGCTATTATAACAATATACTGTAATAAAAGGTGTATGAGTGTGGTTCCTCTCACTCTCAAAATACCTTATTGTACTGTACTCACCCTTTTACTAACGATGACATAGCATGATAAAATGCCTATGTGATGAGAAGAGGTGATGTGAACAACAAACATTGTGACAAAGCATTAAGCTGCTGTTGATCTTCTGATGATACAAAAGGATGATCATTGGCTTCCAGGCCATGATTGACTTTGGATAACTGAAACTGTAGAAAGTAAAACTGTGGGTAAGGGGGGAGGATTACTCTATTGATGTTCATAACACAACTCATGCCTGAATTGAATTGACAGTCTCCACATAGGAAGAATAAATTCATGACTCATGGTTCCCTTACATTTTTATTCCAAAAATTAATCATTGGTATAAAATTTTCATGAATGGAAGCTGTTTTTTCAACAAAAAAATACGCTATAATGCCAAAGTTTTGAATTTCAGTACAGCAAGTCAGATGTATCAGCCATTTCTATATGATATTGCTTGAATTAAAGCTAAATAGCCTTAATTAGACTAATATATGGCCTTCATAAAAAGCTGATATGGAAGTACAACCAGTGAATTTCTTATTTCCTCCCCCCCTGGAATTTAACTTTTACTTAAATATTAAAGAACTTTGCATCCAGCTAACCTAAGTAAACTAATTTTGTATCCATCTAATTATATCACAATATGAAATTTTCTAAAATAGTAGGAAATATGGTTAACACATAATTTAAAAATGTGTTTAAACTCATATTTCATACAAAAACCCCTAATTAGGGCTCATTTGGTATAGAAATTATTTCAACAGCTTAAAAGAGTGATTGATATTCTTAAATTTAAAATCAATAAGCCACTGTTATGCTTCAATTCTGCATTAACTTTGTATTACTTTTAGAAAGCTACATCTCATGGTACTATTATTTCTTTTGAATGTCAGGAACATGAATTTTGATGCCTTTACGGTTTTTGTGATGTGTCATGAAGACTCGTAAATGTCTGAGTATTGTGACAGTAGTTCTGAAGTATGGCTACACATTAGAGTCAGATTCAGAGAGTTTAACACATATTGGTCAGACCCCAAACCCCAGAGATTTTGATTCAATTAGCCTGAAGTGATCTTTTTGAAAAGCTTTCTAGGTTATTCCAAAGTGAAGCTACCTTTGAGAACCAATAAATGGGAGGATTTGGGAATAATGAAAATGTTTTGCTCATAATACTCCAGAACAGATTTCCAAGACAGGAGATGATATGAATTGACTATATTTAGCTATCTCCAGGAATGACATTTATTAAGCTAGGACTGTGCCAGCTAATGTTTTGAAGTTCCTCCTAGTTCTTTGATTCTAACATATTATAGTGTTCTTTCCATGTTAATGGTTATTTCACAATTTTTTTCTTCATAGAGCATATAGTGACTCATCAATTTTTTAAACACCCTTGTGAATAATATAATAGAAGCAAGCTATGGAGCGATACCTCCATTCTTTCAAAAACTTCATTATCTGTAACAACAAAATATGATCCATGAAATCACAACAGAACTCTTTAAAAAGTAAAATGACATCAATAACATTAATACAATCAAATTGAGTACAGGTATACTGATGGGAAAAATAAAGGAATGATCAAAATTGAGACAAATTAATCAGTGATGGCTTCTTGGAAGCACTGATTTATGCCAGATTCAGATGGAAATGATGAAATCCAAGTCGACAAAGGGGCTCTATGTAAAATGCTGCAGTGAATAAAACATGAATAAGCTATGGTCCTCACTCTCAGGGCATTGATGATCTAATTCAGAAGTAGTCCCATCTAACTCTAATATAAAGGTAGAGTGTGCTATGAGAACACAGAAGAAGGATAGATGTATTCCATATTAAAGGATTGGACATTATATCACGGGCAAAATTGGAATTAAGCTCTGAAGTGGCAGAGTGGTTGGAAGAATGAATAGATACCTTCCAACAGAATTATTGACCTAAGTAACAATATGGTAGCACATTTTCTGGAATGTTCAGGGAAAAACTACACAAGATGAATGAAAGAAGGCATTTCACAGAGGTGAGAACGTACATCTGTGTTTGGAGAAATACTAGCCCAATTCACCAGGCTAGAAAGTCTCAAGAAGAAAAGAGGTTTGCCAAATATGAAAGTAAGGGAGGGCCCTGAAAGGTTGTTTAAGGAGTTTGACATCCACAAATCCCAAATAGCAACATTTCCAAAGGATTCCAATTATAATTGAAATAATATCAGGCCTATTAATATCTGGCCTCAACTAGTTATTTGGTTGTGTTAACAAACCTCCAGTCTGAAGTGGGGTCAGACTGAATATAAGATAATCATAACAAGAAAGGAAGTCACAATTGTCAGGATTATATTTCAAGGAATAAGCGTGCCAAAATTCCTTTCATTCTGGGACTGGGAGGCTGTCATTCAGTACTTTTTCAGCTCTTTTCATGGAGAAGCTACCAACTTCCTCATTCTGAATTTATATACATAGGTCCATTGTCAGAACTACTCAATGTAATATTTGGATCAAATGTTTCACTAAAGCATGTATTTTACTATTTATTACATTTTTTTTCACGTTCTTCTTTATCCTTTCTTTATCCTGATTGCCTAAAAATACTCTGGAGAGAGGGAGAGAAGGAAAAAAAAATCACTGTATAAAAAATAATTAGCATGTCCTCTCCTTTTTATAACTTTATAATTGAAATCTCATTAAGCGCTTTCTAGGTCTCTTTTCCCTTAGTGACCAGGTGTCCCTAATTTGTTTTTATCCAATGTGACTAATTCCAGGCAAAGACTAGAAAAAGTCTGATACCTGTTGGAGAATAGCAATAGCAAGGTTAAATAAGTGGGGTGGCTTTTTCAGGTTGCCTTTAACCTCCTAAAAACAAAACAAAACAAAACACAACCAAAAAGCTTCAACGTTCTTCTTCTTTTTTTTTTTCTTGGAGTCCTGCCTTTTTCTCAGTCCCAGTTGAAGATTCCAAGGGAAATGAGAGCACTATTTTGTTTCTCCCTTGTATTGCAGATAGGGGGAGGAGGTGGTTATTAGAGAGAAGCTCTTCCTCTCTCGGTTCCCCCGCTCTCCGCTTGACAGCACCGCTCTCTCGCGGGCTCGCTCGTTCTCCTAGGTGATCCATTTCTAGGCAACGTGGGGCTAGTGCTGAAGCTGCCAGGCTCTCCTTGCTCGCTTCCTGCATCCCGCCAGGCGAACCGCTCCAAAAGCATCCTGCAGCCCGCAGGCTTCCCTCCGCCGGCCCGGCCCCGCTGCTCGCGCCCGGCGCAACTCCCCCGCCACCGCGCCCGAGCGAACCGGCTCCCCGGGCCCGCCTCGCCGAGCTCCGCTCCCTGCCTCGCGCAGAAAAGGAATTTTCTCTGCATTACTATCTGCATTACCTTGAAGTTCACTTTTACTACCCCTCTTGGAGAGGGCTTTTTTCCCTTCCCTGTTGGAATCTGGCTGCTCCGCTTGGAATCTCCTAATCTTTCCTTTCCACTTAGATTTTATTTTGGCAGCGAAACAAGTGATT